ATTTCCGTATCTTCCTTTTGTTCAAGTGTATGTGATTTATCTATCGGTATTGAAAGTTCCTTGGCGTCCAGCATATTAAATTTATTAATTATGCTACATGCATAATTTGTCTGATGCACAAATAATGAACCATTTTTCATTATATTTACCTGCATACCTAGGAAATAATCTAAGTTTCCTTTTTTAACCTCAAATTCTTTCTCCAAGTTTGTTAAAAGTTTATTTATTATTTCTTCATTTTCTGCAGCGATTAAACCATCGTCCACAAATATTGCCAGAATAATTCTACTATTATATGCATTGAATACACATGCATCCGCTTCGGTACATTGTAAACCAAATGCATTCAAAAAATTTTTAACCCTTTAACGGGCAATTATTTCCCACCTCGGGAACGCGTATTGCCACGTCAAAAGGTTAAGACATCGTTTATTGAATGTAAAAAAAATAAATAAATTATTACATGGAAATAAACGCGTCCGTCGGACAAACAGCGGTAACGCTCTCGTCCGACGATTACAACAATATCGTTATTTTTTTGTTACAAAATTATTATTATTATTATTATTAGGATATAGTGTTCGATAGTCGACCAACCGGCGGGCCACCAGGGCGATGTTGCGGGCCGCGTTGACGTCTCGATTCCAAGTGATTCCACATTTCGGGCAAAACTGGAACCTGTGATCGTGGCGTCGACGGCGACCGATCGCGATATCCCCGGTACTCTTTGGCGACGGCGGTGTTGATTCCTCGTTGTGTTTGGGCGGCATGGTCATGCGTTTCGCACAACTCGAACAGCACCGAGTGGTCATGTACTCGTCCACGTCCGCGACCGCGCACCGGTCTCGTCTCCGGTGAAACGCCCGGCGTAGCGAACACACCGCGGGTTTGCGGTTCGCGCCGTAGCTCACGCCGTCCCGCAGCGATCCGTCGCCGAAACACACCAACACCTTTGGTGTTTGCGACCATTTCTCAGTAGTTTTATCGTTATCCATGTCCAAAAGCCGTTGCACCAGCGAATCTTCGGCACCGCGTTTACACATTTTCCCGAACCATGCCAGTTTAGTGAGCTTGTGCCGAGAAAATCGTAAATGCGAGCGTTCGTGGTGACGCAAGCGGTACGCGGTGTACGCTAGAGCGTCAGCGTACATCGAGCAGCACTTGGATGTCATTTTTTCAGATTCCTTACGGTATTGTAAGAGTTCACGTTCGTACCGGCCAATCAGTTTTTCACGTCGGCGTTTGATTATCCGTTCCTTGCACTCGAATTGTTTAAACTTGGCAGTTTTCAACGTATAGTTACGTTTACGATCCACGTTATCGAGGTAACATGCGCCCACGTAATTGACCACGCCGGGATCCAGTCCCAGAAATCCGGAAAACTTGGACAGATCGACGGGATCGCGGTCGTCCGTTTGTTTTCGCTTCGATATTTTGCTCTTGGGTCCGATAGAATCGTTGTTTTTCGGCACGAAACGTTCCATGGCCACGCAGCAGTAAGCGCCGTTCGTGGTGAACGACATGCCAAACTTTGTGCGATCCCGATGCGCGGTTATCGCGTTCGTCTGGGGATCCAAGCGGCCGTAGCGTCTGCCGGAGAGGTTGAAATACCGCCACCAGTACGTCGGAGTGTTGTTCATAAAGTCGTAGATGTCAGATGTGCATTCCGAAGGTTTTACCGAACGCAATAGTTCGTGTAAAGCCCGAGCGTTGTACCGCAAGTGTTTGGGGCCGGGGCGGAAAACCGGAAACACCGAAAAGGATCGCGAGCCGTTCCGCTCGAACCACGTGGCCAGCCGGTGCGAAAAGGGAACCAGACTCCACCAATTGTTCTCGGCGTCCGCGAAACCTCGGTAGTCCGCAGGCAATCCGAAAGCGTCAAACATTTCGCAGATTTCCAAACTGCGGACCGTCAGACGGTCCCGCGAGAACAGCTCTTCGTAAACCCGACACGTCCACACCCATTTGGGCGCTTTGCGTTCGTGTTTGAGGTACAGGTAACGCACTACGCACTACGCGATCGAACAGGTGGACGCAAACGCAATTCTTCATCGCGGTCTCGTGTTGTACCGCTATGGATTGGATCAGATACGTTCGTAGTTTACCGTCGTAGATCCGTTGCAAACCGGCCCGTTCGCGCATGGCGAAATACTCTTCGTCAAGCGGTACGCGTTCCTTGCGCTGTCGTTTTCCCTGCAGATGATAGTAAAAATCTAGCAAGTGGTTTTGCGTGAACACCATCGGCATCACGTCTTCTACAGAGTGTAGCAATTTCGTATAGTGATAATGAACGTAAATCGAAGCTTCCACGGCCAGAGCCGACACTTCGAACACGTCGGCGACCATGCGTTCGCGCAACTCGCGGTCCCGACAAAACTTGCCGAAACCCTCCTGCACGGTGTACGTCGTAACGTTTACGTTAGCGTCGTCGTTAGCCGCGAACCGTCGTTTTTGCGGCAACCAAGTGCGCGCACTTGGCCGAGGACACTCGCGAGTGATCCGTGCCGCCGCATCGTTTACACGACGCCGGCGATGACGATTGTACTACGACCATTGTCGTTTGCAATACTCAAGCTACGGGTCGTCGACAATCGATATTTATACAGAAAAAAAATAAAGATAACCAAAATATTTGATATAAACATAAAACCTAAAAATATATATGAAATATACAAAGAAGAGCCTGATAAAAAGAAATTTTTAGATTATATAATAGATAAAATTTCTTACAATAATCATTTTAATGAACTAATTTTAAATTTTATTTCTTCATCACAAATTGGTTCAAAGAAGATAGAATTTGGATTAATATTAGTTTTTGATTTGGTTTTTGAAAAAGGAATTTTTGAAGCTAGATCGCTACCAATATTAACGAAATGGTCATTTAAACTATTACACTCAATTTTTATATCATTTTTATATTTATTAATTTTTAAGAAATAATATAACAACTCCCATTGTTTTATTGGATTATTTTTATTAACTACATTGATTTGTTCTTTAAAGTAATTTTCTTATGCAATTTTAATTAAATGTACTATTTTTGATTTATATGCTTTAGCTAATTCTTTATTGTGCTTTAATTCGTTTTTTAATAGATTATTTCTAACTTTAATTGACTCAATAATACCTAGAGTAATCCACGGATTTCTACTTCTAGCCGGAATAAAATAATTATCAGATTTATTTAATACATTACTTATATATTTATCGCATTCTTCATCCACGTATTCATGTGTTGAAGTCTCCATAGTTGTTGTTTCTTGTTGGTGATTCATTGGCTGTAGTCGAAATGTCGTTCAAAAGGCTTTCAGCATCAATTCACTGTCATCGCAATTTAGACGACTAAAAACGGCTACAGTATGCCCACGAATGAGTCAAAACAATAGTCGCTTGTATTTATAGCTCCGAAAAACATGATGCAATATTACACAATAATTACGTAATCTAGAGAAGAAGAACGTTATAGAATGTTCGATTTGCGCCATAGTATAAAAAAATAAGGTATACTCAATCCAAAAAACATGATACAATATTACACAATAGTTACGTAATATTGTGCAATTTGCGCCATAGTATAAAAAATAAGGTATACTCAATCCTAAAAAATGGAAACAAGAGTACAAATCTAAAGAAAAAAATCTTCTAGAATGTTCTATTTGACGTCACAAACTTAGTATTACGAAATATTACTAAATATTACCATTGTCCTAAAATGAAAAAATAAATGACGGACTTTTTTGAAAAAAGGCTTTTAATACATGGTCAAACTTACATAATAGCAGAGGCATATCTTACTTAAAATGAAATGAAAATACTTTGGTTGTTATTTGTTTGCAATTTATTTATGATGTATGAAATTGTAATTGAATGATGTATAATTGTTATTTAAAAATGTATATTTGTAATCGAAATCTATAATTGAAAACTGATAACTAAATGTATGTAATTTTATATAAAAAATGTGAAATATCGATGTAATTGTATACAAATTGTATACAAAAAGTAGTCAAAATTCGATGTAAAAAAAAATCAAAATTTGATGTAAAAATGTTGAAATAAGCTAATTTTAAGGTGATTTTTTTGATTGTAAAAAAACCGACTGCGCCAGAACATACACTATGTATCTACTCAAAATTATTACTTAGTATATTGTCAGCCATTATTAGTTCAAAAAATATTTATTATCCATATTAAATTGGCTTTTATTTGTACTATAGTTTTTATTTTTATCAAAATAACTGTAATGTTATAATTGTGTACTGAATTTTAAAAGTAATGGATTTTGTTGAATACGATTGTATAAGAATAGGAATTTTATGATTATTCAATATTATAAATTGCGTCTGGTTTTTTTCATATAGTGTAGTTTAGTAGTGTGGAAGAAGTGCTGAATGAACGTGTTCTGTTGATTGTGTTAATGTATACTTAACCTACTTAATATTGTATTATTATATGATCTATTTAAGATTTGAAAGTAAGCTATAAAAAGTATAAATATTATTATAGTTATTGCCCAATTAAACCCAAAATTATTAAAATTTAAATTACTAGCCAAGATATTATAGATTAGAACAATGGTTCTATATAATGATAAAGTGTTATACAAATATAGATAATTTATAAAAAACGTAGATCATCGATACTTTTTATTTGTGTCTTTTTGGTCATGTCGTCTTTTTTGCAGAAGATTCTGCCATTCCTTGTCCAGATGTATCGGTATCCAAGTTCTTTTGCTTTTGATCTAGTCTCCCAGAGCAGTTTCCTGTTGTAAGCTGTTAAGCTTTCGTTAATATATATTCTTGATCCTTTGAATTCAATTTTTCCCGGTTTCCTAATGAATTCTACTCTTTTTTTTTTTTTAAGAAAATTCTAAGACTATTTGAGGTGCTTCCAAATTACGATTTGATAATTTTCGATATACATTTTCAGTATCAAAAAGATTAATATCAACGTCTATAATTCCTGCAAAATCATTAACTATTGTTTCAACATTTTCATTATTTTCCTTTTTTACACCATTTATTTCTACTAGACACGCTCTTTCGTTGTGTTCTAATATGTTGATTTTTATTTCTAGATTTCTGGTTTTTAATAAGTTCATCTAATCTAGTGGTTATAGCTCTGGTGTCTAAATCACTGTTCATATAGTTATTTGTTTCACCTTTTGTTTGTGGTATACTTTTGATGGGTGTACTTTCTCCTCTGTCTTGTTTAAGCTTTTTTGTGCAGTCTTCATAATTGAATGCCACCCCTTTTGATTTCATAAAGTCCAAAGATTCCGCATTCATGTTAGAGCATTTCATATGTAATATATGTTTACACATATTACATTGAATACTGACCTCATTTCGCGAAACTGTCGAATTGCATTTCGAACACGATGTCATACTTGTACAGTTAATTAACAAAACACGACTTAGCACAATGAACGACCGAACTAAACTGAACTGAAAACTATAGTTTGTGACTATATATATATAATATATAAGCAAAACAATTTTTCCAAGATTTTTATAAAATATACCTGTATAATATTTTGAATTACCATTGTCGATATAACCTTAAAATAAAATAAATTAAAACATATTATGTATAGGTGTAATAAATGTTTTTTATTATAATAATTAAATTATATTATTTTTACTACTCAAAGTCTATTTTAAATGTATTATTATTCTTCCCTCTATAAATCAAGGAGATACTAAGTACATTCCCGTCATTGTAGTCTTTCGCCTGATCAGCAGTTATTTTCATGTAGTTGGGGAGGAAAACGTTCATTCTCCCGCTCGTTGCAGTGTCGTCCATCCTGCACACGATTGCTGGCCCAAATTTTGTCGCAACCTCTCCCATCGACCTTATTTTCTATGGCACATCTACCGCCAACTCTCCAATTGATTTATTCATAATTACCGCTTGTTTTTTGATTAATTCTAAGAATGCTATTTCAACCTGTGGATAAATAAAAAAATAAAAATAAAACATTGTCACACTTGTAAGACACTATATAAAATATCCAGCCAGTAAAAATAATATAATTATTTAACGTCAAACTTAAATATAATTAATTCCCATTTAGTGAAATTTTATGTTTGATAAAATATTTATTTGAAAACAACAAGCCTACCCGTTGATAATATTAACCCTAAATACTATTTTAATGAATATCTTTATAAAACGTGTTTTTTTTTTTTTTCCTAACCATGATACTAAATGTATTATTATTCTTCCCTCTATAAATCAAGGAGATACTAAGTACATTCCCGTCATTGTAGTTTTTCGGCTGATCAGCAGTTATTTTCATGTAGTTGGGGAGGAAAACCATAAGAATGCCATTTCAACTTGTGGATAAAGAAAAAAATAAAACATTTTCACACTAATTGTAAGGCATCATACCGAATATTCAAATATATATCATATATCTCGCAACAATTTATGAATTTAATTTCATTATTTTTACCTACTATAGTGCTGTGACTATAATATATATAAGTAAAACAATTTTTCCAAGATTTTTATAAAATATACCTGTATAATATTTTGAATTACTATTGTTGAAATAACCTTAAAATAAAATAAAACATATTATATATAGGTGTATAGGTTTTTTTATTAAAATTGAATTCATTCAAAATCTATCTTGAATTTGTTGTGGTTTTTGCCTCGATATATAAGTGAGACCTTAGGCACATCTCCATTGTTGTATTATGGAAGGCAGGCAGGCAGGTAGGTCTTTTTATAGATTACATGGAAATTAGAATTTGGTTTTTTTGGAATTTATTTTATAACAATTCTGTTGTAAACATAATAATATTCTTATTTCGTAGTATTGATAAACTTTTATAGACCTATGATTTTATGGTTACTTATTACTAATAAGTAGTAATAACTAACTTTATAATTGTTTAATACCCACTAATATAACATCAAATAGTGTTCATCACTAAAAGGTCTAGCAAACGGTATCAAATTGTTAAAGAACATTGTCCATGTCTCAATTGTTTATTATAGAACCACAGTACAACGTCTTGCAAATCAAAGTTCACGTGCGGTCAGAAACATTATTCGATGCTTCATTTCACCAAAACGGCACCGACTACCACTTCAACCATAAGTACTCCAGTATCCACAAGCAATCTGGAACCAATGATAACCACGTGTCTAGTATCCCGTCCACAACGTCATTCCGTGCTGTTAAGGTGCGTCCACATTAGAGCAAATTTGTGTGTGCGTTGAATTTTAATCTCGACTGGCGCACGTACGCCGAAAATTGGGATTATGTTTAATTTGTATATTGTGCGTTGTACGTTGTATTTTCATGCTCAGACTTTGTGGCAGTATATTCTGTAGTAGTTAACAGTGTTAACAACTGCGTGTAGTGTGTATCTACAATTTTAGTTATTTTATTTAATTATTTATTATTTATTAGTAATAATAGGTTCATATTAGTCATTACTCATTAATCATTATGAATGAAATTGAAATAAGAAAAAAACAAGCCGCAGCATTTATAGTCATTCACCAAATATTAAATAAAAAAACAAAAACAAAAACAAAACATCGGCAAAGACGTTGGTGGATAACAAAGTTATACCAAAATAAATTACATAACGATGGCTCAAGTTTATTATCCACTTTAAAATTCGACGAAAGCACGGGACAATTCAAAAATTTTCTTCGCACAACTGATACTACATGCTACAAGTTTGTTGAGCAGAGGCTGGAAATCTTCCTCCGCATATAACTATATATATAGTGATAATGTAAAAATTTGCCTGATTACGATAGTTCATAGACAATGCTCTTCATAGTTATAGAAATATACTTTTTCTCATCAAAAACATATATTACGAACTAGAATTAGTTGTACTCCAAACGTCGTATCACTAGCTCATAACACGCAATAATCAACGCTATACTTTGCATACTATGGACGCCGAATCGAGTAAGTATCATTGCCTAATATTTATATCCAGGATTTTTATTTTTATTTTTTATTTTTTAAATCGAGAGGTATTTTCATACCTCTCTAGAGGGTCTAATGACGTCTCATTGCGAGGCGTCATTAGACAATCACCGTCATTTCGAATGGAATTGTGAAGCATGCAGGGAAAAAAAAAATTTTTCATAAAAAATACCATATGTCCACGAGCGTAGAATGGCGCGAATTTGTATACGCGAAATTTAATTTAAATATAAACCCGACAATAATTACAAATTTAAGTTTTATTAAGCCGGAGTTAAAAATATATTCGCATCGTGACTTCGAATATTTTTTCCGGAAAATATTTCAGCAAACCTACCAATTAGTAGACAACCATGGTCACATTATCTGGAATGATAATTTGTTATCCGGGAGTGTGATGTGGTTACAAGATACAAGTAGGGATTATTGGGAGGAGGTATTTTTAAAAATAAGACGTTGTGTAAATTATGATATTAGAAATTTAGAATTAAGGAGTTCATGTATAGCTAAAAATTATTGGGATCTTTTACTGTATAGAATTTTTCAAAAAAAAAATGGGGCCTAGCATATATATTATTAATAATTTAGAATATTTAGATTTAGCCTTAAGTGATACTGTACATAATAATCAGAATCGTAGTACTCGTATTCATAGTTAAAATAATAATAGTGTATATAATTTAAATGTAGAATTAGGTAATTTAAGTTTAGATAGATTAATGTTGTTAAGGGATTGGACTTTCGGGTATGGTTTATTGGAGAATTGGAATATTGGTTAAATGTTACCTTATGTAATTTTAGGAGATGAGGCTTTCCCTTTAACACAAAATATAATGAAGCCATATTCAGGACTACATCCTTCTGGGTCAAAACAAAGGATTTTTAACTATCGCCTTAGTCGATCCCGAAGAGTAGTGGAAAACGTGTTTGGGATAATGTCCGCTATGTTTCGAGTGTTAAGAAAACCTCTATTATTAGAACCAAACAAAGCAACAATTATAGTTATGGCAGTAATACATTTGCACAATTTCTTAAACAATAGTGAAACATCAAAAAATAATTATATGGCTCCTACAGCGTTGGATAAAGAGGTAAATGGTAATATAGTTTCTGGAAGTTGGAGAAATCATTCGGGGGATCTTACTTCACTACGTCCCATTCAAAATATTCCACGCAGATCAACAGAGCTAGCTAAGGAAATCAGAGAAGATTTTTCTGATTATTTTACTACAAATGGAGCAGTACCGTGGCAGTTCAATCACGCATAGTGTAGTTTTTGATTATTATTAACTTAATAACTGTTTTTTTTTTATTATTATAGTATAACATTTATTATAATAATATTATAATTAAAATTATTACGTTAATTTATTATTTATTATTATTTGCTATTATTAGTATAACATTTATACATACACTTTCTGTATTCAAAGTTGGTCTTGGCTGATCCTTATCTGCTAAAAATAGCATGCTTTTGAAAGCGAACCAATTGCTAATATACACTTCTATAGCGCCTATAACCATAAAATATAAGTGTACCGTTAAAAACTAGTTATGTTACCAAGTTGTTATTTTTAGTTATTATAGTTATATTACTATTTAATGATAACGTAAATTTGTAAGTACTTACCTTTTCCTGTTCCCATAGATTTTTTTCCTTTCGCCTTTTCTCTACGAAAAGATCCCGATAGACTTGCCATTTTTTTCCTAACCTCTTCATGGTCTGTACTAAACAGTTTAGCAAGAGAACACCATGCGTCGTGCTTTTTTGTTTTCGAATAATGAAATGGATCTTTCGCATCCCATAACAGTTTATATTTTTGGTACTCTTGTATGAGCATCAAACAATCGTCTTTAACATAATTAACATAATTAACATAATTTAGTATATTGGAATGATCCGAATGAGTTGGTTGATAGGTTACGACTTCTTTTAGCCTCTCAATCTGCGGAAAAACTGGGGTTTCAAACGAAATATTATCTATTTTTGAATAACTCTTGCTTGGATTTTCTTCAACAGTAGCTTTTCTGATAGGAAAGTGAATCTAGTTGGTACTTTAGGGGGGGGGGGGGTCAAAAGTAAAAATTTACCAGTAGTTTTCACGAGCACCGGGAAAAACAACATAAAAATTAAGGAAAAACGGGAATTTTTACCCAAAATCGGTTTTCCAAAAAATCGATTTTGGTTTTTGGTGTAACTCTAAAACAAATTAACGTATATACATGCAATTTTCACTGTTTGTTTATATTTGCATTTTCTATACACGATTACATTTTCACAATATTTTGATTTATTTTGAACTGTTTAGGGACATTTTCATTTTCCATTTTTTTTTAGTTTTTTCTAAAAATATCAATAAAATTTTATTTGTTGGTTGCGAAAGCTTGAAAATTTAATAGAAGGCTCCTAGTATATTGTTTTAA